GTACTACTAAGCCATAAAGAGTAATAAACTAGATGCATTTATAGCTAAATGGATGCACATTAAAGCCATACTCCTAAGTGAAATAAATAGGACACACATGTAAATACTGAATAATTTCTCTGGTGTGAGAAACTGAAAATGTAAATAAGGACCAAAATGTGTAATAAATAATGTGAAATTGATAGAGAAAACTTTTTAACAAAAATCCTATGGAATGTCACAATGTAAAATAACTACTGTTGTTTGCTTTGTTTAATTAAGAATCAACAGGCACCAGAGGTATCTAGTCTCACTCAGAAGTTTTGTAAATGAAAAGAACCATTGTTAACTTTGCTGACCAGACACACCCCACTCCCCCTGGGTTAGAATAGATAACTAGATTAATTTTAAAGGTAACCTCCCCTAACAAAGAAGTTCTACATCTGGGTTGAAATTTAACTGCCTCACCACCATGTTTTGAATATCAGCAATGTGAACTGTGAAAATAAAATGTAACTGCCTGAATGAGATCAAGGCTGTAAAACCCTATAAAAGAAGGAGTTGTAGCCCAGTACTGGATCGATCTGGGCACTGCTTTATGTGGGATCAATCTTTGTTGACAAATAAAACTTTTGTTATTTTACTTTCATTCTGCTGCCTCTCTGTGTGTCACTTACCAATTCCTTCCGTAATAAAATAAGAAGAAAATGTCCAAAGGGAAGGGAAAGTAGGGGGTGGTGGGGAAAGGAAAGAAGGGAAAGAAAAAATATGAGAAAAGAAGGAAAAAATGGAAACAAATTATTTTGTAAATATGTGGGGGCAGAAGGATGTTAGGGAGGGAAGGGGAATAGAGAAAAAAGAAGATCCAAGATATATCATGTATGTACAGGTACAAATTGGCAAAGATGAATGCAGTCATAACATATACCTAAAATGTACCAATAAACAATAAAAAAAGAAATAAGCTCTATCATTTACATTTACCTACTTCCAAAGACGAATGTAAACTTCATGTGCTGCAAATATGTACTAATGCTCTTAAGAAGTCAAAGAAAATAAAATTGTATATGGACCTGAAGATATCCAGAGTAGCGAAAGCAGTCCTGGGTAACAAAAGCAAAACAGGAAGCATTATACTCCAGATTTGAAATTATACTGCAAAGCTACAGTGATTAAAAACAGCATGGTACTAAGCACAGAAACAGATATGTGGATCAGTGAACCAGAATAGAGGGTGCAGAAACCCCCTCAGACACATTCATGTATCAGATCTTTGATGAAGGGCTCAAAACACACCCTGGAGAAAGGACTGCCTCTTTAGCAAATGGTGTCTCTGACCCATGGTGCAGCTTCCCTTCCACACTTTTCAATTTTAATATTGTTTATTTAAGTCTGTGGAAGTAATAAATTTCTTCTCGCTTTACTCAATTTTGGGTTTAGCTGAAGAAGTCTATTATAAGCACTTTTTTCTTCCATTAAGTTTGTTATTTTATTAACTAACTTTTATAATAGAGGAAAATTTTGCTTTAATTACTGCTCTGTGTTCCCCAACACTCTCTGTTGTTTTATTGTTATTTTTTGAGCTCACACATTTTAAAAACTTTCATTATCATTTGCTCTTTTGTTGAATGTCAAGCATAATGTATTAGTAAACGGAACTGAGTTACATAGCATTTCCTGTGAGATCTGTTTATCTGCCTAGGAGTTAGGTGGCACACACTGTTTGCTGTAGCTGTAGTGCCAGAGGCTAAAATTTTCCTTTAGTGTTCCTATTTTTTTCTTTTCTATTGTCTTTTGGTTTTCCTAGACATTTCCTTCTTAAGTAAGGCCTGAGGCTTTTAATTCTTTTAGCTTCAGTCCCTTATAACCCTGCAGTCCTACTGATGTGGTGTTAAGGAATGGAAGAGGGGAAGCATCTTATAACCCATGGTGAGGTCTTAATCTTGTAGTGAACCTGTGTCCTTGGATTGTGACTTTCACAAATATTTCTCAGCATTTTTTTTTACCCTGCTTAGCTGAAACAGGAAGGAAGCTGAGAGGTTGAAGTTGGCTACTTTATTTCTGCCAGGTTGGTTAGGCCCTGATTAATAGTTTCCCTGGAGGGTAGGCTGTCAGGGAGAATAGAGTTGTCTTGTTTCACAATGCTCACTTTCCCCTCCTCCTGCTGATCTTCACCCTGAGAACCTGGTGGTCTGCAACATTTGCAGGTAAAACTTAGAAACCCTAAGTTTAGAAGCTCCCCTGAAGATGAGTGTCCAGAGTGTGTAGCTCTTGAGTTACCCCATACTCAGTCTCCTGCAATTAATCAATTATCTTTGAAATGTTTTTATCAGGCTTCAGCTCTGGTTTCTGCTCCCTACAAGATAATATTCTATGTTCATTTGTCTCCAAGTTTTGGGGTGGTGGTTTGCCTCGTGACTTCAATTCTCTGATGGATCTAAAAGGAATTGTTGGTTTACAATATGCTTCGTACTTCTCCCTCTTTTCTTCTTCTTCCCCCTTTGCTTCTTTTTGAGAATTGGAGTGACAATTTCCAAGCTTTTTCTCTTTACACATTAGGCTAGAGTTATAATTCATTCTTTATTGGTGTATTAATTCAAATATGCCCTTTAATTTCCAAACATACAGGTTTCTTTTTAATTATTGTTTTTGTACCAATTCCTAACAACTGCATTATGCTTAGATAACAATGGCCTGCATTATTCTAATTCTTTGAAATGGTTTGTTCTGTGGAATATCAGGCAATCTATTTTGAGAAACTTTCCATTTGTGGTTGGTAATATGTGTCTGATACAAGTTATTGAATTCATCACTGTGCAAGCAGGAAATGGATGTTGCTATTAAGCAGGGCAAATGAAAGGGCTTGTGGAAATACAGCAAGATTAAAGGGAATCAGACAGGAATTACAAAGCATCCCTGGGGCTGCTTATCAAGAGTAGCGAGCACGGACAGGGCACGGAACAGAGATATCTAAGGCTGCAGGTAACTTCACAGGACCTGGATAGTTCAGGAACAAAGTAGTAGAATGAACACCCTCACACTTTGTTCTGCTGGACCCTGCTAGCAACTCTTAATGGTTGAATCAAATCAGAACTTAATGCCAATAAAGTTCCCTGAGGCAATCAACAAAGATCTATCAGGACCTGGATCAGGAGGAAAAGAGGACAGTGGGTCGTAGTGTGGCAAAAGAAATATAGTGAGCTCACAAGAAAGATACAGCAGACTCTTCTGGGTGGGCAGAGCATGCTTCCTATGCAGGAGGTGCTAAAAAAGAATTGGCAAAAGAAACAGTTGGCATCCTAACATAGGAGGAGGAGAGGGAGGCTAATACAAGAATGTCATTTCAGTTTAGGGTGCTCTTGAGGAAACACAGCCATTGGTAATAGAAGGGAGATTATAAGTGAATGAGAAAAAATGTTCAAATTTTAGCAAGTATTCCCAAAGAGGGCACAGGGCTTCCTAGGTTACAAAATGGTATTTGTTAGGGCCCTAATACAGAAAAACAAGGGAAATAAAGAGCAGGAGTGAGCCATACAGGAATATGAAATTGGTAGGAACAAGAGGAAGATAACCAATAGGTAGCTAAAATTTGGTTTAAACTAACAGGAAGTGGGCAGAATTTAAGTAATGCTAGTGGCAAATAAAACCATGACTAGATAGGAAAAGTCCTATAATGCGTGAGGCTTAGAGAGCAACACAAAGGTTTTAGAGAAGATTTTACTGCAACTACTTATACAGAACTTTTCCATGACAATGACACCAGAAATGCCACCCACAGGCAACTGCATGATGGCTTTGCAGACCAAATTCTTTATTCTGCCATTCTTCGTTTCCTTCTTTCCCATACAAACACGTCTCATTACCATCGTGCTTCTGTGCTTTAGCACCTCTTCTCAACCTCAACAAGACCGATCTCTTAGGCTGCATCTTTGGGTGGGGGCTGTCCTGTGCATTTTAGGACGTTTATCAGCTCCCCTGGCTGGAGCCTTCTGGATGCCTGTAGCATATTCTCTCCTTCAGTAGAGATCACCGACCTGTCTTCAGAATTTTTTAACATCTTCTTGGAGACAAAATTGCCCCTGGTTTAGAGACACTGCTTTAGGCCATATATGAAAGCAATGGAACCAGGGAGAAGGAAGTTAGAGATGTGAGAAGAGAATCTCAGGGAAGGAGAGTGTTTCGTAAGTAAAACTTGAGACAAGAAGGAATCTTCAAAAATGATACATTTAGATTTTACAGCACATACCCACCGATAAGATTTTCAAGTGGGAAATAAATGTGCAAAAATGTTAAAGTACTCTTGCTTCAGTGTTGTATAATGCAGAAATCTCAAAGATTTCCTGAGATATTGTGTTATACGGTTTGAACCCCCAATTACAATCTGGAGAAATTGTTGCTCTCAGGTCTTCTCTTTCTTATGTCCTCTCTTTTTTTTATTAATCCACATATATTTAGCATGTGGATTTGGTTAGCAATACAATCTCATTGATTCATTTCTTTTTTTTTTTCCTAGAAACTTAATTGAAGAACTTGAGGGCTACCATGCAGGGATGATAATCACATTTCATAGCACATTTCTTCAACCTACTGCATCCACACACCCACAAATAACCATACATCTCTCAATCTATTTCTTTCCCAAAGCCATTTCTCCTATGGATTGATTTTTCCACTAGAAACTAATGCTCTTAAGAGCATGGTTTGGTATTTTTCTTTAATTTCTTTCTCTTTAGAGGCATGACTGTCTTTTCCCTGATTCTGAAACTGCATTGCATGGCATTTGTACCTCCTATCATGAGTTATATTACTAAGAGAAATTTTGGAGGATCAGTCTTCTGGAAATGAAGTCATAGAGTCAAGTCTTAAATATCAGCATAAACTTCCAGGTCTGAGTCTGGAGCCAAGGAAGCAGGAATTGTCTTTCTTGGAGCCTTTGAGCGTTGGAGAGTTACTCACCCGTCCAGGTTGGGAAAGGGGTAACTAACATAGGGGAGGGAGCTTTTTTCCCAGGGTCTTTCCTCTTAGGCAGACTCTGCCTGGGCCAGATTGGTTCTCCTAAAGGCCCGCACCATAGCCCCCTTCATTTCCTTATTGCGCAAGCTGTAGATAATGGGGTTGCACATGGGGGTGATGATGGTATAGAGGAGGGAGAAAGGCTTGTCTTTGTCTGGCCCATGTGTGCTTCGAGGATTCATGTAAGAGAACATAGCTGAGGTGTAGAAAATGATGACCACGGTTAGGTGGGAGGTACAAGTTGAGAAGGTCTTGCCCCGACCTGAGGAGGAGGTTGTGCCAAGGATGGAGGCCAGGATGCGGACATAGGAGGTGATAATGAGGACCATGGGACTGAGCAGCACCACAACGGCATCAAGAAAGATTACCTTCAGACTAAACTGAGGGTCCCCACAAGAGAGGATGATCACAATGGGGGCCTCACAGAAGAAGTTTTCTACATGGTTGTCTCTACAGAATGGACCTCTAAATGTCATGTAGTCAAGAAGGATTCCATTGATCATCCCCACAATCCAGGAAGTGTTCACCAGTCTAATACAGACCTTCCAGTTCATTATCTGGGCATAACTTAGTGGGTGACAGATAGCAGCATAACGGTCATAGGCCATGAAAGCCAAGAGGATGCACTCAGTCACACCGACACCAAAAACCAGATACATTTGAGTCAAACAGGAGGCAAAAGATACAGTATGATTCTTGACTACCAGGTGGATCAGCATCTGTGGGATGGTGGTGGTGATGAAGCAGACATCCAGGAAAGCAAGGTGGCCAAGGAAGAAGTACATAGGGCTGCTAAGCCTGGGGTCTGTCCATGTGATGAAGACGACGAGGCCATTCATGGCCATGGCAAGGCTGTAGAGCACTAGGAAGAGAATGAAGAGCAATGCCTGAGTGGCAGGGGGGCTCTTCTCAAAGCCCACAAGGATGAACTCTGTCACTGTGCTGCTGTTCTGAAGGTCTCCTGTCTGGGTCCTGCTTGAGGAAGGAGGTCAGGAAAAACACAGGTGAGTTAGTTGTGCATAGCAGTCATCTTGGCTAACTTACTTCTACAAAGCAGATATGCTTTAATTAAATCCAAAAGACAGTAAATGACAATTCCAGTAAACCTCATGTGAGTCAGCATGCCAGGCACAGAAAATGCTGGTGTTACTGTAGGCTGGATTAAAGGAACTACATCATAAGCCAAGTAATGTTTATCACACTTTGTGTCAAGGAGGTTTCACCTGAAATATTTTATTTAGTCCTGGGCTTTTTATTTTTTTTTAAATAGAATTCACCCTTTGGGCATTTTTAGGGTCAAAACAGAATTGAGCAGAAAATATAGACTTCCCGTATCCACCTTTCCCAATACATGTGCTATCTCCACTACTGTCAATGTCCAACACCAGAACAGTGTATTCATTCCAAATGTTGAACTTATATTGACATGTCATGTTCAGCAAAGTCTACAGGTCATGTTAGAGTTCAGTTTTGGTGTTGTATATCCTAAATATTTGGACAAATGTTCTCAAAGTGATTTCACTGACCTAAAAGTCTTTTTTCATGGTGTTGGGGAGTGTAGAGGCAGGGTCTCCCTTTGTAGTTCAGGCTGGCTCTGAACTCATCTGTAGCCCAGGCTGGTCTTGAACTCAAAGCAATCCTCCTACCTCAGCCTCCAAGTGCTGGTATTACAGGCTTGTGCCACCCATCACACCCGGCTTCCTAAAAGTCTTTTGTGTTTATCTATCCTTATTCCGTCTTTAATGTCCTCACTGATCTTTTTATTGATTCTATGTTATTCTCAGCTATCTTGATTAAATGATTATCCATCATTGGGACTGAGTTCAGAGAAAAGAGGATGGGGATGAATCTAGGAACTATGTATGTTTTAGAAATAAAACAATCCCTTGAAAGAAAATTTAACTGGAAGACTTAGAATCTGAACAATCTCTTAAATAAGTTTTCCAACTAGAACAAAGAATTTATTTTTTCTCTGTAAGTCAATGGGTAGGACTACAATCAGAGAGTGGAAAAAATAAATGGCTGAGTTTTCAAAGTAAAAATTGGCATTATTTTTACTATAAGCATAATGTTTGCCTATTTTGCCACATCTGGAAAATTCCAAAAAGGAAAAACAAAAATTAACAAGGAGATAAAAACAATCATCTAGGAAGAAAAATCACTTTAATGTTTCATATCTTTTCATTTTGTTTTTCTATATTTATATTTTAAAAGTTTTTGAAACTAGCACAGGACTTGAGTAGAACCTGCCACTGAGACTTAAGTGGCAGTAGGGGTGGGAGGAAAAGTATCTTCAGGACAAAATGAAGCAAGTACAGTTGATTCCAGGTTGGGGGATCTAATATGTCTATGTGGGAGAAAGGGGGAAAAAAAAAAGGATGAAAGCTCATTTTTATCTGAATGAAGCACTGGGACCAATTTCACTCCATCCCACTTTACAGCCCCAGAGAGCATGAATTCAGGGGAAGCAGTACCGTTTTTCTAATCATCCCTGAGAAGGTGTGACTTTGTGCAATTAGGGAACTGTGTGTTAGAGAATTCCTGCTGGTCAGGAATTTCTGGCCATGACACTATTTACAGTTTAGCATTTAATTTTGGTCTCAAAAAAATAGATGAAATCTTTAAATGAATGACAATAGATAAGCTTATGTTCCTTTGGATGGGGTTTAGACCTAAAAAGACAATAAGGCATTTCTTCTAATGCAGTGGTACTCAAAGTGTGGATGCTAGCTTAGCAGCAGCAGAATGTGAAAATAATAAAAATTGCAGGGCTTTACTCCAGATCTGCTGAAACATAAAACTCAAGGGATTGGGCACATCAATCAGCATTTTAACAAGCCCCCCATATGATTCTGAAGCACATTAAATCTTGAAAAACACTGGTTTAATGTAGGGGTGGGCAAATTATGGCTCTCAAACCAAATATGATCCACTATCTACTCCTACAAATAAAATTTAGCTGGTATACAACCATATCCATTCATTTGTGATTGTCTATGGCTGTCTCCTCATTACAACTAAGCCACTGCCACAGAGATCATAAGGCTTTCAAGTTGGGTTGCCAGATTTAGCAAATAAAAATGCAATGTACAAATACTAGTTAAAAGTGATATAATGAAAAATGAAATTTTAATTATAACTATGTTCCATACAATATTAGTAACTCATCATGCAAACCCTGAAATATTTACAAGTGAGCTCTCCAAAGAACACGTTTGCTGATTTGCCTTCTATAATGATTTTAGAGAGTGGATTTGCTTCTAAGAGACGTGGAGGGAAAGCCAATGAAAAAGGCCTTAGTCTTAGCCACATACCTAGGATTCTATACCTGATGGAAGGTCCATCTTTTTAGGTGGTTTGTTAAGTCTCAACCACTTCCTTACCAAGATGAAGGTTCAAAATAGGGATCAGTCTCCTGGGATGGAAGGACAGCTAGTATCACTTTCTTTTCTATTTATTAACCAATATATCTGTTGTTTTACACATTTTAAGGGCTTGGTGTTAAGCTTATTCAATTAAGTAAGATCAAAGGGTTGCTTTGGAAGGATTGTCCAGTTAATTCAGAAGCAATTCTGTGACAACAATAAATCTAGACATGATCATAAAAACAACCCCACCTACTTGAAAATTGAAAAGATAAAAAGTCTGCTGGACACAACTCTCAGATCAAACAGGAAATAAACAACTACAAGCTACTTGAAAATATATGAAAACTGAAAGTGTTATATATTAAAAAGTATTCTACCTAGATATTTATTAAAAAAATTTAATAACCTGAAATACTTTCATTACTTAACAGAAAACAGGATAAATGACATTGCATGAAATAAAACAAAATGGAATAGCTGAAAAGGTGAGAAATGTCTAAGCAAAGCTAATCTAAGGAAGACCAGAAAAGGAAAATTTGTAAGAAACAAAGAAGCAATTATTAAATAAGAAAACATAAAAAGAGGCTTAATAAATAAACTTATGAACTGGCCATTTGAAAAGACCAACAAAAAACCTACTATCTAATAACAACCAAAAATGACGTGAAGACAGGAAAGCAAAAATATACAATTTTAAAATGGAGAAACAATCACAGCTACAAAGAAAAGAAAATAATTATGCAACATTGCTTTGCAAAATTTTATGATAATCAGTTTGAGAGCTTTGGATATAGAAAATTTTCTGGACTAAAATAAATTACTAAAATTCCTTGAAGCAAAGACAGATAAAATTAAACTACTATCTTGAATAAAATGAATGCAACACAGTAGTTGAAAATTACTTCATTGGCTTCAAATTATAGTCTCTTAAACAGTGTTGCAATGCCCCCATGTTCGTGTTGTGTGCCAGAGCATTGAAACAGAAGGTACTGGGAGAGATTCAGTTATCAGTATTTTAAAAAATTTAATTTACGAAGTATAATGTGATTCTTTCGTATATGTCTACCCCATGACATGGTGAGGTCAAGCTGGTAGCATATCTGTTACCTTATAGAGGCATCAGTATTTTTAAAAGCTCTCCAGGAAATTCTAAAGTAAAACCAAACCCCAGAAAAATGACAAAGAACTACTCCAAAAATAGCTCCACAATTTTGTAGCTCCACTGGCAAATTGTTTCTAATCTTATAGCAATCAGATATTTTCCAATCCTACTGAAACTCTGAAAAAATAGAAAAATAAAAGCTCTTTGACTACTTCACAAAATAATTAAACTATGAAGACCAAAACCTAAAAAGTACACAAAAAATTATAGCAAAGACAATTTATGGTGAAATAAACTAAATAAATTGTTAGAGAATAGAATTTAGCAATACATTCAAAGAACAGTGCACCATTTTTGCCAAGTGAAATTCATTACAGTGATTTAAGTTCTTCTAATAGTAGGAATTCCACTAATACAGCTCACCATGTTAATATATTAAAAATGAAAAACTTCTAGTCAGTTATAAAGGTATTTGATAAACTATGACATTAATACTGGATTTTAAAGTTCTTAGTAAAAGAGAAAGATATTTCCTTGTCATAATTTAAAAAAGTTCTCAGTAAAAGAGAAAGATATTTCCTTGTCATAATTAAAAATCTAAATAAAAGTAATTATAAAACATACTATGTATTAGGTATTGTTTGTTCTAAATGTATTAAATATAAGTAGTAACTTTTAAGCTTCACAACAATCCTATGTGTTAGGAGGTCTTCTTAAAATTTTTGTTTTACAGGTGCACAGAAAAGACCAGTAACATGCCCAAGGTCATATAGTAAGTAATGAAGTTCAAATTAAAACCTGAGGAGTCTTATTACAGATGTTTCATTGTCATTTACCTGTCCACATTGCTTCAGGCTTCTGGATGCCCTATGAGGACTGGCTGAATCATCTAGACAAATAAAGGAGTGGTGTGCCTGTAACTGCTGAAACTGGCTCTGGGAGTACAACTTTTTTTTTTTTTTCTCATTGAGTTCATTGCTACTTTTTAGGAAAACAGTACAGTTACATTCATCATTGGGATTTTGTACCTTTGCATGATGTATCTTGGTTCTTATTTTCCTCCCATACCCCCGCCCTCCCTTCACCTCTCCACCCTTCCCTATTTTCAAAAACTTTGCTTCCATTTTTTCATTTTCTCATAGTTTTTCTTTTCCTTTCTTTCCTTTCCCCAACCCTTCCCACTCCCCCTACTCCTTTAGCCCATTTCTTCCTATTTCACAGTATCAATTATACCATTTGAACCTTATTTACACTTTTAGTTTTTCACACCAGAGAAACTATTTGGTATTTACATGTGTGTCCTATTTATTTCACTTAAGAGTTTAGCCTCAATGTGCAACATTTAGCTATAAATGTCTCTAGATTCTCATTCTTTATGGCTGAGTGGTACTCTATTTTATTTAAAAAAAAAAAACAACCCAAAAATCTTCTTTATCCAGACTCCAATTGATGGGCAATTGGGATGTTTCCAAGTTTTAGCTATTACAAGCTGTGCTGCTATA